CTGGTGGTAGAAACTGAGTGTTCTCTGTAAAAGCGACAGATGTCCCTAAAAGAGAAAGCTTCTCTACCTACCTAGAGGATGCCCAGGATGGTAAACTAAAGAGGACCTTGCGTCGAGTCCTCATGCTAGCAGAGAAAGTGTTTTACCCTGAGTTATCTCCTTAGCCCCACCCCATGCTTATGATGACATCTGCCAGTGCCCCCCACTTCAGAGCCCTCACCATGACCCTCAGAGTCCCTCATGCTCTGGCTTCTGCTTATTTGTGACCCTCCCCTTGGCTTCCTTCTGCCACCCCTCCTTCTAGACCTCCAGGGTCTGCTCCACGGCTCATCTGAGTTCTCTGAACGTGCCAGACTCCATCCTACTCAGGATCTGCGCCGCGGCTGTGCCCTCTGACTGAACTCATCTTTCCACTTGTCTTTCCGCAGATGACTTCTTTTCATCCTTCAGGTTTCAGATGGATGTCGCCCCCTCAGAGTTCCTGCAGCAGCCTCTTTGGGAAAGCCTCCCACTCCCAGCTCTGGTTTCTCTCTATGACGGCACATCAGGCCACCTCTGCAGCATTCGGCATCTTGTTTATTAATGTCCCAGAGACTGGTCGCCGGTCTTTTCCACCCCGAGACAATGACCAGGCAGTAACATAACTGAGGCGGCACAATTAAAGAATAGTCAAAATAAAGAAGGAAATAAAAGTCGACGGAGGGGCGGGAGGGATGAAGCACTGAAATGAAGCTTCCTAAAATAACGCGGCATTTAAAACCTTGGCTACTTTTTTTTTCGACTTGGTTTTCTGAATAGGATCAACGAGAGCTCTCGATGAATTACATGTCTACCGTCTAAACGCCCGATTCAATTTCAGCATTCTCGCCATCCTCTTCATCCTGTTAGTCACCAAGACCGGCTGCTTCCCTCATCCGATTCTATCAACAACCCGTCTCCGACTCTTCCTTCCACACCAACTCCTGCCATCCCCGGCAATGCTCATGTGGCTGTGAGGGTCGCTGTCCTAACTTCCTAATTGTTCCATCTTTCTGAAAGATGCATCCTAATGTTGCTGTTACCTCTCATTTTACTTTAAAAAGAAAATCAATGTTTTATCTTATTTAATAGGCACAAAACCCTTGGGTATCAATTTATATTGAACTATCTTTCCCTCTCCACCTCCAGCAGTCAGCATTTCCTGCTACCCCCTTAAATGAGCCTCTGAGCTCCACAAATGTTTACCTATGCGCCCCCAAACCAAGTCCAGTTCACGCTCTGTCTGGGTTTCAGCTTGCTTCTACCGCAGACTGCCCAGCCTTGCCCTTTCACAGGCAGACACAGCATGCTTTCTCCAGCTCACAGCTCACATCCAACTTGGGTTCATTTCTCTGCAGGTCTCTCCCACACTCTCCTTCCCTACTTCTACTGCAAAGCCAGCTCCATGGCACATTTGATCACGTGACCGCTACAGCTGCTTTTCCTGTGTAAATGGCAATTCCACAATAAGACTGTGTCCTTGCTTCTATAAGCTCCCAGCGGTGGCAAAGGTAGCAATGGTCCAGTGTGAGCCACCTGGACAGGTACCAAGTCACAGGGTCCGAGCATGAGGCTCTCCAGCATCAGTAACATCCCAGATGACCCCGCCAGCCCCCTGTGGATCTCTTCCCCTAGCTCTCTGTACCTGAATTCTGTCCAGCATCAGCAACATCCCAGATGACCCCGCCAGCCCCCTGTGGATTTCTACCTTCATCTCTTCCCCTAGCTCTCTGTACCTGAATTCCCCCATCCATATGTGTTTGCCTTAGAAATCACTGACCCTTTTTCCAATCTTGGAGACAGCATCTAGTAACCAGAGGTAATTATCCTTTGCCCTTACCTCCCCGCCTACACCATGGGTTCCATTAAATGCTCTTAGCTTACACACCTGGCACCTCTGTGTTTGCCTGCCTCTTGTGTTTATCTGCCCGCCCACCTCCCTGACTCTTACCACTATGGCATTAGAGAAAGAGTGTTTGCTATCTATTAAATAAACAAATGTACAAACAAGCAAGCTGTTGCTGAGATGTGTTGAACAAGCCCCTAATTTAGTATCACAGCCATCATTTTAGTGTTGAGTAACATCCAGCGATCCACAGGTCACACCACCTATATGCCTATTTGCTTTCAATTCTAAGGTTCCTTTAAAAGATTTCTTTTTGGTTTATGTATAAGTGTGTATGACTGTGAGATTGTATATGCACCTCACGTGTGCAGGTGCCTGTGGAGCTCAGAAGGTCGTGGGTCTCCTGACAGGAGCTGTGAGGTGTCCAATCTTTGCGGCCCCGAATCCTCTTGCAAGAGCAGCAAGTGTTCCGTAAACCTCCCAACCCAAATTAATTCCTAAGCATCTACTACATCTCAGAAATAAGGGAAATTCCGGGGTGGGGGACAAAAACAGATAAGAACCCCTGGCATCCTGCTACCAGAGACAGGCACGGGGCTGTGGCGTATGTTTGGTGACTGGGTTGGAAACAGAGAGGATCTGAGTCAGGCCTCTCAATAAAGGTGATGTGGAGGGGGCCTGGCTGAACCAATGGAGTGACGTCTAGAAAGGAGAGCAGTTGCTGCTGGAGCAGAGCCAATTCTGTGAGCTAATGGGCTAGAAGGAGGGTATAGGGTGTGGGGAGGAGGGGGAAGGGGGGGAGAATGATCGTAGACCGTAGTGTGTGCAGCTGTGGAGCAGAATTTGGGGATCTGATTTTAGAAAGGGTGAGTAATTTGGAAGCGATTCCTTAAATTTGGGTCTTAAAGTTTAATACGGCACTGTGTGTAATTAACCTTCCCTTGAGCACTATTCCAATGTATAAGCTGCCTAGGTCATGTTCGCATCTTAAACTGAAAAGCCAACGACATCTGCAGCCCACATGGCTCCATGAAGTGCCACCTTCACATGGCACCCTACAAAGGACACCGCAAGCCACCTGCCCAAGCTCTCAAGTTCTAGTTTCCAAAGGACCAGTGTGGCTTACAGCAGGGTGAAGCCCACGTGGCTGAGAAACACATCGTGGCCACGAGAGCCTTAGTATCAGCAACAGTTGCTTTTATGCTTTTAATTGCACAGACTCAAAATCTGTGTCAACTTAGTGTCACATGGATACTTGGAGGAAAAAAAGCAGTGTTCACACCCTGTTCTAACTCTTAATCTCATCCAAGGTCAGAGGAAATGGCCTTCAGACTGGAATAACAAAGGCCTGGGAGTAAAATGTCCAGAGGGGTGACTCAAAATGACTTGAGCCACCTATGGCTACAAACAGAGATGTCTGGGTAAGAGACGAGGCCTCCAGGCAACTTCCGCAGCAGCCCATATGACCAGCTACTGTATTTAGTGGCTATAATTTGGGGGCAAAGCTGGTAACGATGGTTTATTTCTTTTCATGCACTGAAGCATGTCTGTGAAACTTACTGAACTTGGGAATTTGAAAAAACCAGACTGTTTATAAACATACAGTTCAGCAGTAAGGGCATATAATGACTGTGCCTCCTGCAAAATAATTTAGTGGCAGTCATGGTGAGCTGTAATGTGGATTTCAGTTATCCTTGGACAGGAACAAACCATTCTCACTCAGTCTGTGAGCCCAACCCCCCCCCAATCCCCCCACCCCCCCCATCCCCGCCTCTCTTGTCCTTGCTTACAGACTCTAAGTTACACAATAAGCAGTTATTTCCACAGCAGAAATGGCCAAAATGTCTAAGTCTCAAACAGAACCTGTGATTGTGGTATGGGATCAAGGTTATCATTCTTCCAGGTTTTCACAATTACAACTCTTGACCCCGCTGATGGAAATGTCAGCATCCACATAATTTCTTGACTGCCTGACAACGGCTCATCAGCATGGAAAGGCACTGATTTTGCTGGAAAGTGACCTCCAAACTATATCAACTACCATGTGTTCATGCAGTAGACACCACATACTCCCAGCAAAGAAAGAATTTCAAGTAAATGTTCACCCACAAGCGTTCATGCTGTCTTACCAAGAACTTTGGTGTAACGTGCTGATCTGAAATTTTTATATGAATTATTATAATAATTGTTGATGGCAATAAGCAAATAAAATTAAAACCTTAACAGTCTCAGTCCATCCCATAAGCAGAGATCCTGCCCCATGAGAGATGAACTCACAAGTGTGTTGTCTCCCCTTGAAATGCATTCATGACCTTGATGAATCCATATCTTTCTTATTCTCAAAAACCATGGTTTTAACACACCTCCTTTAATGGGCCAGAAACCTAGAAAGGTAAAGGTGGCTCCCACTATGCACAGAAGTCTTCTGGAAAGTTCTGCAGCACTGAAGACTTGAATACCAGAGGGAAGACTTCTGTGTGCCTTTATTTGGATGCCACAGAAATGCTGAGCACACATAAGGCAAGCTCAAAACAACATGAGCTTCCACAGCAACAACATTTCCAATGTTATAGCAAAAGAGAGAGAGAGAGATTAGGCAAGACATCCAGGGTCCAGCCTTCTGTCACAGATAACACTTTATATGTCTATGCTATTATTAAAATAAAACATGTAGGCAACAAACCCTGAAGTAAGCCTAATACATGAGCAATCAATGTAACAACGGTTGCCTTGACAGGGGTGGGTTAAGACTTATAAACTGAGATAGGTAACATAGACTAAACACATCAAGTCAAAGTCAGATTAATATCCTGTCCTTTTACACTGAAGACAAGAGGCAGGGGTGGGGGGGACTGCTTATACAAAGAAACCATCATCTCAAAATGATCTTGATTCTTAATATATTGCAATATATTATCCCTTATCAAATGTCTCCACCATATTGCTTCTGAGTTTTACATTCTGAACTGACAGCTAGTTTGCTCAATTCAAACTTTTAATTCAAAACCCTATGTATTATACCCTAGTTTTCTATCTCAGACTACTTTGACCAACTATATAAAGGAAATTTGAACAGATGAATGTCAGGTCACAAACTATACCAAAAAAAGAAAATAGAAAGTGATTCGTCTCCTACCTATGGTTGTGATAACAGTACCAGCAAAGAAGAAAGAGCTTCCGAGGTCCCAGTGACTAACTTGATTGGAGCTGTTTCCTAAGGGGATAATCCCTGCATTTATTGCTGCCACTATTTGCTGCAAGTTTAAAAAGAAACTTATCAGTACATGTCAATCACAGAGCGGCATCAAACATCTCAACTCCCACCCCAGGAATGACCAGTTACACAAAAGGGATCAACTTTAAGTCTTTGATTTTTCTATTTAAAATATGTTAAAGGATTGAAACTTTATTCTGAAAAATGTAATACCACTTAAATCATGAACATTTTACATTTCATAGCAAGTGAATGGATTGGTATGGAGCTCCTAATAGTGTGCATTTATAGCATCTCCAATGATATGTTTAGTAACGTATTTGAGTCAACACCTAAGTATATCAGTGTTCTCTAGTAAGCAACATGGATTGGTTATGTATTTAAATATCAGATTTCAGACTGCATTAAGTAATGTATAATCCTTCATTAACATGTTTATGATTTCAGATGTTAATGGTCATACCAAAGACTGGGCTGTCTACAAGAGCTAAAAGCATATTTCAAAAGATCTAAGGAGACAGACTGGGGTAAAAAAGAAAAAGAAAAAAAAAAGACCATGTGACCTGTTAGCAAGTTAGGTCCCTCCTGTTAGGTCTAGGTTCCTTGAGTTTCCTCAGATTCTAATAAATTCTTCAAGGAGAATCACCCAAGGTCGACATAAGCCATGCTCATGGGGACCATGGGATTTGTAGACTCCTTGTGTATATCCCTCCCCCCAAGAGTAGACTGGAAGGCAGCAGGAGAATCCCCTCTGGAAGTGTAAATGATGCTGACTGCCTGAGGAGATGATGTGTAGTCAAAGAGAAACACCACGAAGGCCAGACCACATGTTTCTGCTGAGCCTGGAGAACGCTTTGTCACTTATCTTTCAAATTTTAGGATTTGGGAGAGTATCATTCGATGGGCGAGGGAAAGGTCAAGACAGCACATCTTGTTTGCGGAGGCCTTGAGGTTACAGGCGGAGGGAGGATAAAGGGCTGGGAATGGGAGGGTGCTCTCCCGGCACTGGGGCACTGGCGGGCGGAGGGAGCAGGCAGCAGAGACTAGGAGTAGATTTCAAGCTTCATCGCACAGCTGCTCACAACACACTGGTTAAAACGACAATGCTTGTGTGCAAAGTCAACCAAATCATGTTGCCATCCTTTATTTTACAAGGCATGTTCTTTGTATAAATGGAAACAAAATTAAGAAAATGAGGAAAGATGATAAAAAGATAAAAATATTCACTATTCCAGAAGATAGACAGGATCACTGTTAACATGGTAAGGGGGATAATTCTGATAGCCTTTTTCATTATAGTTTCTTTGATATAGGGTCTTGCTATGCAGCCCAGGCTGCCCTTAAACTCGCAATTTTTCTTTCTCAGCCTCCCAACTAGTGTCATTACAGACATGCATCATCACATTTGGTTCAATATCTTTTATATAGTTAGATTCATAAACTATTTTAAATGCTAAATTATCTTTTCTTTTTTTTTTAGTTTTTTTTTTTCGAGACATGGTTTCTCTATGGCTTTGGAGCCTGTCCTGGAACTCACTCTTGTAGACCAGGCTGGATTAGAACTCCCAGAGATCTGCCTGCCTCTGACTCCTGATTGCTGGGATCAAAGGCATGTGCCACTATCGCCCGGCGAATTATCTATTCTTATTCAACTATAATAACTTGGTAATGACCAAGAAATAACTGTGCACTAACCAATGCTAAGCAATTAGTAACTTATTTAACAATGCCCTTATAAGTAATATTGCCTCCCTTGTTTCTGCTTGCTAGTCCCATACTTACCATAGTCTAGTACATAGGCATGTGCTGTTAGGAATACACTGTATTATATAATACTCTTTTGCAAATAAATTTGTTTATAAATACTCCTGTTTCTTAACATTTCCTTGGGAGAGATTGCTAGAAATAAATTAGTCCCATTAAAAATTATTAATATTTTATAATGCTGGATGGAAAATAGTCATTATCCAGAAGACTTTGTTTACACTGTCCCCCAATAATAGTCAAAGCCTTAGCAGTCATTCTAAAGCTAGTAACACTTTATCTTCATTGGACCAACAACAGACATTTAGGTTATATATTCTCTATTGTAAATAATACTGGACATGAGTGTTTTACATTCCATTCTGTGAATGAAAAAGGCTTCACATGCGAACTCTGCACAGCATGCAGTGAAGCCGGTTCTGAGAAAGCTAATTCTGCTTGTCAAACTCTGTCCTTAGTGGCAAATAATGAAGGTTTCCCTTCAGCATCAATCTTTTTAAATGTTCTCTGTTGAAACTGGTGTAGCAGACCTGTAATATGGCTACTCCAAGGGCTAAACCAGGAAGGTTGTGAAATTCAAGACTTGCCTGAGCCACAGAGTGAATTCAAAGCCAGCCTGAGTAAATTAGCAAGACATTGTCTCAAAACTAAGAGAAAAGAAGGCAGAGGCAGAGGGTGGGGAGGGAGGGAGACAGACCAGGGCTATAGCTTGATAATACAACACTTATGTGACCTACACTAAGGCTGGGTTCTGTCCCTAGCAGCAAGCACAGACAAAATTAAAAATAAAAAGCATGCTCTCTGTAGTTTTATGCAAACTTTGCTTTCACAGATTCGACGTATTTTAAATGCTAGTCAGGCACAGTGATGCATATCTATAACTCCAAGCAGAGGCAGGGGGATTGAAAGCTCAAAGCTAGGTTATATAGAGAAAGACCTTGGCTCATAATCTCTCATGTGGTATTACGTATACCTCTCCTCCTGCCCACTCTCTCTCCTCTGCCCTCCCCTCTCTCTCTCTTTTACAGACTCTCAGCACACACAAACCAAGCATCCACATATTTGAAATACATGAAATCTATAAAAAGGAAAATGAACAGCCCCATAGCAGTCTGAACTTCCAACCGAGGCCACAGCTTAAATTTCTACTTCATCTCAGGCAACACAGCTGGGGTGTTGTTCTGGATTCCAAAGAGATTACTTATTGAAGAATTGACATTTTTTTCTGTTTTAAGTTAAAATTTATTTGCCAGTGTTGAATATGCAAACGCATATTTCTCACCTTTTGTGTTATCAGCATTTGAAAGTCTTAAGTCTCAGAACCATTTTGTAGCCTCACCACTTACTGGAGAAATCAGTAAACTTTTATTGTGTATGTTTAAATTATAAATATTGGTCTTTATTGCAAATAAGTAGTGAGAAGAGAGGTGGCTTTGCGATTTTTATGAATATTTTTAATACCTGGCTTAATACAAGACAGATGTATTAATACAAGACAGACACACTTCCACAATCAATCTGCTGGGAGTAGCCCATCACATAATCTCCAGAAAACTGCAATGTATACAAATAAAACAGAACAAAAACATCTTCATGATACTAAGAAAACTCATTTGGGGACTGGAACAATGGTTCGGTGGTTAGGAGCATAGAAGGCTCTTGTAGAAGACCTGGGTTTGGTTTTGCCACATAGGATGGCTCACTCACAATTTCCCGTAACTCTTTTCCAGGGGCTCTGACGCCCCTTTCTGGCCTCCTCGGGCACCCACACTCACATGCGCACACCCACACAAGACACACACTCAAACAAATCTTTCAAACAATGAACAAGGATTGATTTGATGTTGTCATAGCTCCAAGAAGCTCTTGGGGATCAAACTGGAGAACCACTGACTGAACTCCTTATTTCTCTGTGTTTGTTCAAACCTGTTTTCTACCCCCAGAGAAAGCTTGCTTCTATATTATGGCCTTTTACCTCATGTTTCTCTAAAGCCATGCTTTAAATCTTTGTATCAATCCCCACAGCAGAGCTGAGTAAGAGCAATGAAAGCAGTGTTTTTCTCATACAAAACTCTCAACAAATAGAATGGTGTGTTATTAAATTTACTGAATATTGGTGAGCAAATTTCATTTAAATATTTTGTTACAGCAGGTTAAAGAAAGACATAAATAAAACTTTAAGAAGCATTTTTCGGTAAACAAAGGCTGGAGCGATGACCCAGTGGTTATGAGTATTTGCTACTCTTGCCGAAGCCACTTGTTCAGTTCCCAGAACCCATGTTCAGTGGCTCACAACTGCCTGTAACTCCAGTTCCGGGCCATCTGTTGAACTTTTCTGGACTTCACAGGCACCTGCACCCATAAAATATATTATTTTATAGACATTTCTTCAACACGTCCATTTATTCCATTTATTCAGAGAACAAGTGTCAGTTTGTCATGCAAATCGATGGGGAAGGCCAGCCATGATAAAAACATAGACATCAAAGGTAAGGAAGGCAAAGCAACTTTAGACTCCACCCAAGGACTGTGGCCAGCCAATCCCTGCAGTAGTTGATTTGCAGAGCCTTTGGAGTCCACTCTATCATTTCATCTTGTTCCTTTTGGTGCCTACAATGAAGTGAAATGCCAGTCTGACTCGTGGATGACATCCACAGATCGTTTAAATTCAAAGAGACAAAGGTGGCGCTCTAGCCAGCATCCAGAATACCTTGGGTGAGTGGAGAGGCTGTGACTAGCCACCACAGGGCTGTGATCTCAAGTAGAGGCTCATGCGTGAACTAAAAGCCCAGCAGATGGGCTTGCCAGGAGGAATTCCCCCACAGCTCTGTAAACTTACTCTACATGCAGGTCCTTCTGTATGTTGTGAATATAGTTTCTCTTAATGGTTGATGAATAAAGCTATTTCAACCAATGGGCAGGCAGAATTTAGCCAGGCAGGAAATCCCAACAGGGACAGAGACAGGTAGTATGCAGAGTTGGAGAGACAACACGTAGCTGCCAAGGAAGTAAGAAGCCTGGGAATCACCTGTAAGCTAAGATGGCGTGGAGATGCATAGATGAATAGAAATGGGTTAAGAGAAAGCTAGTCTATAAGAAGCCTGAGCCATTGGCCAAACAGTTTATAATTAATATAAGCCTCTGTGTGTTTATTTGGGACTTAATGACTGCAGGACTGGGCAGGACAGAAACTTCCATCTGCATGTGGGCTACAAGCCTCTTGACCAACAGCCCAAGGAGACTAGTGCTCTCTCCTAGGCACCAACGCAGATCTCT